AATAATTCCATCAAAACTGCTCTGGGGCCAAAAAGGACTTCATTTGATTAGGGCGACACGTGTGATCCCATGAACAGACCCATTTTAACACCATTTTTTTTTTCTTAAGTCAATACAAAGGTGGTGAGGGGGAACGAGAGAAAGAAAATAGGAACCTCAGCTTTAGCAAAAGACACGTTTCTGTTTAAGATAGCACCTTCCAGGCATTAAAACTTTCAGAAAATGTCCCAACCTCTCTCTCCTGTGAGCCTGAGAGAGTTAAGGGGACTTACTCAGGAATTGGAAACCTTCAATTCTGGATTTTCGTGCCTTTGTGGGTTTAAGCAAAGCAGTTAGCGTTCTTCAGGAGGGGTTTTGTGTTTAATATACATGAGTTCATTCAACTACAATGGGAAAAGAAAACTCATTTGTTCTTATGAAACTAGGAAGGAAAGATAACTTTAAATAGACTGCCAAAAAGGATCCTGCTCAAGGGGGTTGCCTCCCCGGCAAAGGGCCTACTTCCAACTGTAATTTCACCCTGTTATGTTGTGCAGTAATTCCCGAGTTTATCCTCGCCACTGGTGCTTCATTTTCTGTTTTATTTTTAAGGTCATGTAAGAAAAAATAACGGCTTCCATTCTGCTCTCCTCTGGGAAGGAGGTCCAGGGAGTGGTATTTCAGAAGCAGGGAAAAATCGCAGAGTTTGAGGAGGCTGTTGGCTATTTATGAAGAGTCCTGGAAGCGTGTTTGGACAAACGGCTTCTCCGTTTATTGAGAAGCCTTTTGAAAGCGACTTTGAGAGGTGCTGTGTGTGCATGTCAGTCGGCTGTTCTGCTGTTTATTGCGTACGAGAAACTCGTCCCAGCATCCGAGGTTTATTATGATGATTATTATTATTATTAATTTCGCTTCTCACAGCACTGAAGAAAGGTGGAGCCGGTTGTTATTTTTCTTTTTTAACCTCGCTATCATTTTTTTCCTTCTTTTTTTCTTTTCTTTTTTTTTTTCTTCCTTTTTAAAATCTTTTTTTGTTTGTTTGTTATTTTTATTTTTTAACGCCCTGAAAAAACAGCAGCAGAAAGCCCATGCAGGCGGCAGTCGCTGGGCGGGGAGGTGGCAGAGGGGCCGCTCGGAGGGCACACCGCTCCCGCCGGCACCTTTCGGTCCCCTTCGGTCCCCGTCAGTCACCCCCGGTCCCCGCCGGTCCCCCGAGCATCCCCGAGCATCCCCGGGAGCAGCGGGGCCGTGCGCTGCCGCCCTGCCGCACGTGTGCTCGCCCCGCGGCTGCCTTAGGGAGAAGGAGGATGAAAGGGGTCGCGGAGCTCCCTCCGCATTCCCCAGCTTTCAAGGGTCCTCAGAGCCCTTGAGGGAAATTATTGGGCGAAACTGGGGCTGGATGCGGCGGTGGTGCCTCGCCCCCCTCGACCGCTTGTACGTGTAATGCCACTTCTGAGAGCGACAATCGGGCTACTTGCTGGACAGGCAGGGACAAAAAGCAGATTAAACCGTTTTAAATAATAATAAAAAAATATATCCCGAACGCAAGCAGAGTGGATTACGCTTGCCCCAGCGGCTCGGGTCCCCAGGACTCCCCGAGCGGCCGCCCCTGCCCCTCGGGCCCCGCCGAGAGGGGTGGCCCCGGGCCGCCGGGCGGGGGGCGCAGGAGCCCCGCTGGGGTCCGGGGCCGGCCCTGCCCCTCGGCCCCGCGAACTTGGAACTCGTGAAGTTTATTTGAGCTTGTGCTTTGGTATTTTTTTTGGTGTCCCTTTTTTTTTAAATTAATTTATTTTTTTTGCTGGTGCCCAAGGTTGTCGCTAGGTCTGCGCCCGTCGCTGTGCCAGCTTGCTTTGGCTGAGCAAATGGGGCGCTTCTGCCACTGCGGAAAGGACAGGGGCTGGAAAAGGGGCTCCGTACTCACTCGATTTTCATTATTATTATTATTATTGGCATTGGAAGGTGTTTATCCCCACGTTTGTCACGGGAGAGTAGCACAAACCCACGGTGTGATTTCTGAAATTCCCCAGGGATGGGAAATTTGGCTTTGGCTTCGTGTGCCGAAACGTCCTGGGCGAACTTCAGCTCCTGAGCTGCTGCGGGGGGGTGGGGGGGGAGGAAATTTCTCTGCGCGTTTTCGTCTTCTGAATTTTTTTAAACGTAATGAAATTAAAACTTTTGGAGCTCACAGTTGACATTTTGCAGAAAATTGAGTTATCAAGGCAGTAATTATTTCACAGGGAGATAAAACTCTCATAGCCCTAACTGTCAAATAGGGCCCTTTTCAGATTTTAATTACAAAATAAAATTAGTCTGCTCTTCCTCGGAAGGGTTTGTGAGTGGCTAAACAGAGCTTTCCCCAATACTGGTGGTCGTCAAACTCTGCTAATTAGCAATGCTGAGAAATTCCAGTTAACAAGGACATTCTCTAAGTCTCTGCAGGTTCCCTGCCGTTCGCCTTCATTTCCATAAGAAGATTAAGAGTGGAGGGGAACACACTCAAATGCAGATGCAGAAAAGAAGCGTTTTTAACAAGCATCATAATAGTAAGATGCTTGGCTAGTTCTCACCTAATTACTGCAAGTTAAACCTCTATTTGCAGCTAAGGACAAAAAATGGAGCTGCAATCTTCCATCTCCACAAGACTGCTTAATAGTTTGCTTTAGATTGGTTACTAGCAGGTTCAGAAAAAAATAATATGAAAATGTGTATATTCTTTCCGATACAGTTAACACGATAGGTTGTATCCTCAGGGCTTTTAGAGAAATCGGCGGTTATTAGAACAATAAATACACAAAATCCAAGTAGTTAACATTCATTTTCTTTAAAGAAACTCATAACCTGGAAATAAGAGTGCATGTGCCGTAAAGCCCATCACTGAGAACGTTTGCAGACTATTTGTTTAATGTAAGCACTTTTCATTTCCATAAATTATACCAAAGGCAACGATTTTTTAAATCCACTCAGATTAAACCATCCCTCCGCAGGCCTCCCTTTCAACGTGGCTATATTCTTCCGCAGAGTGCTGTTGTTATTGTCATTAATACAGAAAACCGGGGGACCATTTCATCTTTCTTATTTTCCAGCCTGCAGCCCGGGCTGTCCGTGCTTCCCCGGCCGTGTGTCCATATACCCAACCCCACACACCCCAGAGGAAAGGCAGAAAATGCCCTAAAGGACCTTTTTCGCCCTCACCTTCTTTCCTACGGCGTGTTAGTATGTATCCACGCCGGATAGATAGTTTATTGCATCGATAATTAAAACGGTTAATTAAAATAAAGCCGTAAATACTCCCCGATAACACAATTGGTAGGCATTTCCCAGCCTTTATTCGGAGTATAAATGCAATTAGAAAGGGGCCAGGCCCCGTAAGGCCCCCGGCGGGCACAGCGCAGCCCCCGCCGCCCTGCTCCTGCGGGTCCCCGCGCTGCGCACCCCACGCGGCAGCAGCCGGAGCCAGAGCCTCGCTCTGCCTGTGCACCACCAAGCCTCCGGTATCACTTTATTACGCTGAACAAACACCAAAGCCACCCACCCCACCCCCTCTTTTTTTTTTTTTTTCAATTTAATTATCCCTAAGATTTTATTATTATTATTTGGCATGGCGTTATCAACTGCCGACCCGAGCATAAACAATACGAAAGTAAATAGTCGCCGTGCCCTCAGGAGCGGCCGGACAATCAGAACCCCTTTACATCCCTCATCTCGTAATTTGCACCTATTTTTTTCGCCGCTTTAACCTATCACTTATCTACCGGCTCTATCCCTATCTCCGAATTAAACGCATTAAACCCGATAGGATTTATTTGCATAATCCCCACACGCAAAGATGGCACGGAGGTTGTTCAGCAGGATGATTTGGAAGGGGTGTAATAACTCGGGCCCTTCCCAACCCCCCTCCTACCCCCCCCCGGGCATCTCTCGGGGCCGGGTGGGGCCGGCAGGGGGCGCCGCAGCGCCGCGGCTGGGACCGTGCGGGGCGCCCGGGCGCGGCCCCGGCCCCCGCCTGCGGTGCCCGGTCCCGGGGCGCCCCCTGCCCCTCGCCCACCGGCCCGGGGGCTGCTCGCACCCCCGGGGGGGCTCCCACCTCCGGGAGGGGCAGCCCAGGCCCCGGTGGGTTGGAGGAGGAGGAGGCGGCGTGGGTAGAGCGGGGCCGGCGTGCGGCTCCCCCCCGCTCGGCGTCCTCTTTTCCCCTCCTTCCTTTGTCGTCAAGTGCGTTTTAGCAACAAAGATCCCAACAAGAGAGTGGAAGTAAACTTAGCCGGGGCTTTGTGCGGCCCCGTGTAGCGACAAGAAGAGAAACAAAACTACCTATTTGTACCGCCGGGCGCGCCCACCCAGCGCCGCCCGCACAAAGGGCGCGGGGCAGCCTTGGGCCGCCGCGGGTCCCTGCCCCGCCGTGTGCGCTCCGCGGGGGGACTTTTGGGGTCCCCTCCCCATTGTGCCGAGTCTCCCCGGCACCGTGAGACCAGAGGAAGGGCTCAGTGCTGCGGGCACGGAGGGGGCGCACCCCGGGCTGTGCGGAACGGCCTCGGCTCCCCGGCGGGGAGGCAGCGGGCGGGGGGCTCCGCTCCTCCGAGCACCCCACGGGTGGGGAGACCCCGGCCCCACGGGTGGGGCGAGCGTTGCCCATGCGGGACCCCGCCGGTCCCGGAGGGGTGCCTGCAGCGGGGCGTGGGGGGCCGAGGGGAGGCCGAGGCTGGGGGGGGGAAGGCTGGGGGGAGGCCGTTCCCTCTCCGCGCTCCCCCCATGGCTTCTCCAAGCCTCAAGCCAACACCAACTTGGGAAAGGGGAGAAAAAAAAAAATAGGAAAAAAAAAAAAAAACGTCGCAACAATGCTGTTTACCCACTTCCTCCAAAAGGCGTGTGTGACCTGTTGCTGGAAGGGGAGCTACAAAGGCTTCCCAGTGGCTGCCTGGGCCGCCTCTGGGCCCGCCCCCCCCCGCCGAGCCGTCCCGGCGGCTCCGAGCCCCCGCCCCGTTTCATGCAAAACCAGGGGTAGAGACTTGTCCTCAGTGGCGGAG